TAATCAAATACCAGTAACACTGATGATAGTCCAGCCTACACACCTGGTCATCGCTGACCTTGCGACTTGGCGCGTTAACGCCACATACATAACCGCCTTGTGGAATGTAAGGGTGGAACAGTACATCAGCCAGCCAGGGCCAAACCCTAAACCTCTTTATCCATTTTTGGTCTGAGACCAGGACAACATGTCTTCACTTTGGAATCAACCTCTCATATAATATATATATATTATTACATCTTTTCTATGCTGCTTTATATTTCATCAGTCTTCATTCGACTCTCTATGCCACTTCTATCCTCTCTTGCTTCCTTATGCATATAAAAGACTGCGGCTGGCTACGCGGAGGCACTCCAGCATCGCATTCCCTCGGCAGTCGCTGACTGTGTATCAGACAGTTTGATATAAATATACAGAAGACAAATTTCTCTTTGCTGGTTTTCCTTTATTTGATCAAACTTCCACCACACAAACCTACGGGTTTATTAACACTGAATCTGACCGAGCAAAGGAGGAATAAAGAACGCTTTCACTGTCACTAAAACATCATGTCAGCATATGATGGCTTTAACATGCACCACGGACAACAGTATCTATAATTTTAAATATTTCATTACATACTTTTATCCAATCATATTAAGTTTGTATTCAATGGATTTTTTCCAAGAACTTTAAGCTTATGTGAAAGCTCAAGGAAAGTAGATAATGCTATTTACCTTGCTCAGTGAGCTCATGCCTGACTGGTGGAGTCCATTCTGCTGAGCTGTGTATTGACTTCTCTGATTATCCGAAAGGCAACACGGTTCATATCAATAAACTTTGCAAACACTGACTTCAAAATCTACAAACAACGCACACAAAAAGTGCAGTCTCTCGCACAAATTAAAAAGTAAAAAGTTATTTTTAAATAGCTCATGTCAGGAGCCATTAACGGGATGTGTGCCTAGAAAATAAAGCAAAATAAAGCAAATGTAGAATACATGTTAATAGTGGATTGCCATGGATCTCAAATCCTTCATTCTTCTGCTTAGTATAAAGAACAATCCTTTACACCATGCACAGTATGAAACAATACTGCAATAACGTGTGGCCAAGTGGCTAATGCTTGCTTGTTTGGGTTGATCTGCAGTATTGACTTTTCTGGCTTGCAGCTTCAGCCTGTACAGCAAAACATGGTGGTCATCGATGTGTTGTGCAAACGGGTTGAAATGGGAGACACACTAAGAGGCCGGCTGTTTTCTCTCACAGCCTCCAGGGATGTAGAGGGGAAAACACACTTTTTTTTTAAGTTGCTGGCTACATTAAATCTCACTGACCTGAATTCTTAGTGATCATACTTTAAAATGAGCACGGGTTATTTATTAAAATATCTTACATAATCGTTCTGACAACAGAAAAAAATATATATTATATTAGTAAATCACTATACTGAAACACAAAGACAGCTGGGGAAGAAAACTTGACTCCTAACCTGAATTACATCTGCTGTGGTTGTGAATACATCTAATGTCTGATTAAAGTGAGTTCATATTTGACTGATTTCATTTCTACATTTAAATACATTAATGACAAAACACACAGGTATTAGTATGTAAATCCTATTGATGTTACAACTATTGACAACTACAGTGATTAGTAACGCATATTCCTTTATCATAGAGGGAAGAAATCACCAAACTCCTTTTAAAATCTGACAGTTTAATAGAGCAAATTTTTTGTTTTATTTTAGTTCCACATCTGCTGACCACTGTGGTGAAAGTCTCCCTGAAATACTTGGTGTATGCTTGCATATGTGTGTGAATGGTTTACCTTTGGCAAAGATTCATAGACCTCTACAGGGTCTAAGCCGCCTGGGCCCAGTCTCTTCTGCCTCTCTTCTTCCTCCAGCTCCTTCATAGCGCCCTCCATACGAGTCCGCGCACAGCTGCGGATCCGCTCCTTCAGCAACTCCAGCTCACGGTCGAACGCGTCATGGTACGGCTTATCTGCAGTCTGACATGGACACAAAAAACACATAAATGGCCACAAATCCACCAACAAAAATAACTTTTCCACACAGAAAAAGATGCAGGAGAGCAAAAAAACACACATTACCGACCTTGATCTTTGAAAAGAATTGTCTGAAGCAGCCTCTTGGGTCGACCTTAAGCGCCCGAGCCGAATCCAAGATGAACTGCACGACGATAGCCTGGTGGGCCACCTGCTCCATCAGTGCGTGTTTCTACGAGCGCATGGAGAATTCACAAACCTTACCTGGCAGAACCATTCAAAAATATGACTGGG